GAGCGGGATTTGCAAATCCCCAGTTGTTCGATTTACAGAGGTTACTCTGTCCGATTTTCATCTCCGTCAAATAAGAATTAAATTAGAAGAAGTATGTAATGTGTTATGTCATGGGAAAAAGGATTAAAGAAAAAGAAAAAGTTATCTCGTATTTTCGTAAGTTAAGTCTTCCGCTGTTTCTGTTTGTATCATATGTATTTTAATTGAACCGGCTCGAGACGGGGATGTTACAAGAAGGACTAGACGTCTTTTTTACCTCTTGTTCTCTAGCATAATTAGATTTGGAATACCTGCCATATACAGTCTCAACCCGTTTACATTGGGTCACTAAGTTAGCAAAATTTCCCAGTGCAGTATTGGACATGCATTTAGCAATCTTTTTATTGAGCCCATTTGAAATTTTGCAGATAAAAAGTCCAGGTTAGGAAGGGTACCCCCATAATTAGCAAACTTGACCAATTTATTGAACTTGGCCACATAAGCATCTATAGATAAAAAACCTTGCATCAACCTGTCAAATTCCCTCTATTTAGCTTCCCGAACATCCCTGGAAAAATATTCTTCACGAAACAGACCTTCAAATAAGGCCCAAGTAATTTCCTCTCCTTGAATAACATATGGACGAGATACATTGCACCACCACTCATGGGCATCTCTTTCCAACATATATACAGAGTACTTGAGTTTTTGAGGATCCTGACACTTCATAACCTGAAAGAGTTTATCCATACCCTGAAGCCAAGTAGTAACCACTTTCCGGTCTTTAGACCCCAGAAAAATAGGAGGCTTGTGTTTACGAAAAGAAATAAGTCTCCTCCCCCTAGCAGCACCATCATCATACTGCTCAGCCATAACAAAAGGATAAATAGCAACAGTAGGTTGACTAGCCTCACCAGTGTGATGACTAGCCCCATTCTCCCCCTGTTGGGGAGTAATAGAAGACGTCAGTGTAGGAGTCACCGTAGCCGTGTGAGGAGAGAATCAACCCTCCTATGATCATCTATCTCAGCCCTCATCTCAGTCATAAAGTTTTGCATCATATCCTGATTTGCTTTCATCAGGTTTTTAGTCATTGTTCTATTATCAACCATTTTCTTTTGCAGAGCATTAACACTACAGCAACCAGATCAGGCGGTGACAGATCTGCATTACGTGCCACACGGTTGCCCCGAAGTCTCCTTATAATAATTGTACATGTAACACAAACGAATGATCTGATCAGACATACACGGAGGAATCACATATACAATAATCATAAATAGTCTATAGACAACTACACAACACAAAAAAAAGTCATACAATAATTAGAGTTCCCTAATAAACTCCTCTGATACTATAAAATGTAACAGCCCGTTGTACACCGGTATTGTTAACATTGATTATGATATTAAGCACAGTTACAATCACAATAGTTATTTAAAAATACAAGTAACATTTTTCTTTTTCTAACATATATCCAAACCTAGAGCACTAATTTCTCTTGGCACGTTTTTCGGTGCAACTGTTCCGCTGTATTTTCATCAGATAAAAACACTATTTATCAATTTTTTAGAAACTTGCCCAACCACTCAATTTTTCGTTCTGAATTTATTTCTAGTGTTATTTTTACCATTTGAGACCTCATACTATCATTTTACAGTTTGGAGTTACGTATTTGTTAAATTACCATTTTACCCTTCTTACGTATTTTGACCCATAACTTAGGATTTTCATTAATCCTAACCCTTAATCCTCATTTTAATTATTAATATGTGTTTCAAATCTACGAGGTGTTATATTTTCTCTAGTAGAAAGAATAATTTCAAGATAAGAAGATATAATGGAAATTGGTAGCTCTAACTTTTGAGTAGAAGATAGAGAGATGAAAGAATGAGTTGATCTAGAAACAAAAAATACAATTATAAGATAATTTTGTATTAGGCCCGTACCATGAACCAAGTTTGAAGCTTAAGTCGCTTCCTGACCACTTAGAGTGAAAACTCTTCCTTTTACTGCAAGTTTATTTGATGAATTCTGACCTTGATTTTGACGGTATTACCTCAACATATGTTCAGGCTTTCCACACTTAAAGCACACACTCCTTCCTGCCAAACTTTCTCCAGCATGATTCTTCTTGGATTTTGGACATATCTAAATCTGAGAATTCATCCAACCCGCACTCTTTCTTTCTCCATTGCCAGCAAAATTATTGCCCCAGTTTTGTGCTTACGGAAATCTTCCTTTGTTGTTGTCAACATTCCCTCTCCGATTTGAAGCTCTATCTTTCTCCCCTGCTTCCTCATCCTCCTTTATTCTTTCTTTAATATCTCTGCACCTGTTTATTAGTGAGGAAAAATTCATGATTTGATGTCCTACTATCATACTTTTTAGTTCAGGTTTTAATCCAAATTCAAATTTAGTTGTCAACCATTCCTCATTAGGTTGATTCTGTACATAATTAGAATATCTGGATAGTTCCTCAAATTTTGCCACATATTATCCAACATTCATGTTTCCTTGTTTCAGTTCAAGGAATTCTACTTCTTTTATGTTTCTTACACTGAGGAAAATATTTTTCCAAAAAGGTATCTTTGAATATCGTCCAGGTAATCTCCATTCTTTGGCGTTGGAAATATCTTTTGGTTTTTGTCCATCAATGCTTTGCTTCTCCGATCAACAAATATGTGGAAAAATTTAAACGATGAGTATTAGGACTGTCCATTACCATAAATATTTTCTCAAGTTCTTTCACCCATCCATAGCTGCCTCAGGGTTATAATTTTCGCGGAAGAGGAAGATTTATGCTTACAAAATTCAGTGAGTCCTTTGTAATCAGAATCAAGTCCTCCCTTAGCATTTGCAGTTCTAAGTTCATTTTCACTTTAAGAGTTATGGGTGTTATTTCTGGCTATACGATCTTCCCTCAGCTCCTGAATAATTTCTTGATTTGTTACAGTCTGTCCTCTAAGAGCTTTCGCCACTCGGGTAAGCGCTTTAGTTACTGGATTAACTTCCGGTTTAGAAGTTGAAGATGACTGCCTTGTATCTACCATAGATCATCATATATTGTTTCATGGTAATGAGTTGATCAAGCTCATTACTAAATAATTCAAAATATGCATGATCTATGACAAAATAGCAAGAAGCTATAATAATTTAAGTCTTTTATTTACCTAAACCACTGCTATGATATCATAGCAAAGCCTCTCTCTCAGTACGGTATGGTTCTAGGATGAAACGGGAGGAAGCTGGTGGGCATGTAACATCCAAAGGGCTGGCAAGGGAATGAAGTGATTGCCAGTATAAAAGAGGCACGAACAATGAGCTGCTCATGCCAAATCTTGCAACTGGGGGTAAATGAATGAATCAAATCAAGACCTAAAAGAGAGAAATTTTAGATACTGTGCATGTATGAGACTGTAAGTTGTGGATAACTTATAATAATTAATTGGTGTTACCTATACTAATAAGATGCATCTACTTTTTGGTAGCTCGGAACACAAGAACTCCATAGTTAAGTATACTTAACTTAGAGCAATTTTGGGATGGGTGACCTACTAGGAAGTTTTCCTAGAAAGCGCGTGAGTGAAGAAAAATCACATTAAAAAATCTCGTGTTAATTTAAGGGAATAATCATTGATCTTCCAAGCGGCCGGGCGTTACACTTCTCTTTTTAAAAAGAAAAAACTAAAAATAAGTCGGTCGCAACAATTATTATAACTTGGGATATAATTATTTTATATTGGTTGAATTACATTTTCAATGTTAATCATTGATTTCAATTGCCATTATTGATTTATATGATTAATAAATTAGAGACTCCAGTTATTAGTTAGATTAACAATTAAAATTTAATGTAAGATTTATTAGTTTTAAAACTGGTATAAAATGACTTTTATTATTTTTAGTTTGTCTACGTATGCAGGCACAAAGTTAGGATAAAGGAAGAGGATTGATAGGAGATGTAGCGAGCCGATCGTTAAAAAAAAAATAGCTATATTTCTAAGATGAATTCTTATATTTTTTCCGTATGAATTAAATGTTAGGTTAAATATAAATATAATTTGTGATTTAAATATTAAAGTTTTACTTAAAGTATTTATTTATATTATTTAGATACTATTGTATTTTCATACAAAGTTTCATTTACCCATTATGCAAATATTCATTTTGGTAATTTACATATTAATACCCAAGGGGAAATTATTCAAATTTTTTTATTAAAATTATCTTCTAAATAATGAATTTAATCATTTTAATGTCTCATTTAGTCTTAATTTCTTAATATGAACAACTTGTGGTACCAATTCTCAATTATAAAAATCATTTCATATTGCATCACAATAAACTAGTTATCATACCGTGCGATTTACAAGTCTTGTATCATTTTTATTTAGTAGAATTAGTCATTTAAATTTCATATGAGTAATTTGAACTTCTTAAGAGAATTATTAATGGTCTTTATTAAACTCCAAGTTTTATATAAATTTAAGTTGAAAAATGGTTGTTACGTGCCTATAAAAATCACGTCTCCTGAATACCAAGTAGTATAATGATATACGAGAAACATTATATTTTAAAAACTTTTTGTTTACAAACTTTTATAAACTACACTATATCTTACAATTAAAACATTTTTGAGTATAAGCTTACCGGTAAGACATAGTATAATTTGTAAAAAATAAAAAAATTGATAATATAACCCTCTTCATGTTATATACACATTCAAACATATCTCACACTAGTGTTGAGTTCGTGTTCAATTTATTATTTTAAAAATATGAAATGAAAATACCAATATGAGTTTTTAATTACTTAAAGAATGATCGATAACACTTATCCCAAGTTAATTTTTCTATATGCAAAAAGTGAAGGGACAGTGGCAAAAACCTCAGGAAAAAAAGAAAGAGTGGAGAATAATTTTTATTGAAACTCTTTCAGAATTAAATTCGGTAGATTTGCAATGTCAACAAGTTCTGCATGTTTTGATTGGAACATTTGCTTAAACAAAGTTGTTATTCTAACAACACAGGCAGAAATATAGGCATCAAATTGAACCTTATTCAAACGCAGCAAATTATAGCCACATTCATCAGTCTCAATTGAGCTTTATAGAGGGTATCGTACATTCTAGCTTTTCAATATCCCTTCTAGCATCAACAATCACAAAGGTTCACTGACAAGAATAATCCTTTTAGTGCACTAAGAATGAACCTTACTAGCTGTTCACCATAAATAAAACCCTCTCACTCAATCTTCTTCCAAATTATTTTTTAAAAATATGAAGGTAGAGGACTATAAAAATGGATATAATGCCAAAACCCCCGAAGAGTATAACTATCTAACCCCAATTAAAACAAGGTGAAAATGTGCATGACGGTAAAAGTGTTCAAACATTATTGTGCTCCCCTCAGCAAGACAACTTCTGAGGTATTTGTAGGTCCCTAGGACAAAAATTTGGTCTCTTTGGTGATTGAATAGTTTAGGCTGATTTTGTAACCTCGTGGATAGCATCAGCCACATATCCAACGTTGCCCGTATTAAGACCAGCCATACTGTAATAATCACACACATGTTAAGTAAACTTAGGAACACACAGTGTAGGGAAAATGAAAGTAGAAAGAAACCAAAGATTGGATGCATTACCTTATACGACCGTTACGAGTCATGTATATATGAAACTCGTTTGTCAAACGATCAACTTGTTCAGGTGTCATCCCACTGTAGCAGAACATGCCAATCTGCACAAAGTAACAAAGACTAGTTAGAAAACTCATGCAACTAGCCAACCAGCTTGTAGCTATTGGTACTGGCCTAAGATGCTTGCAATTCGATGTAACAAAAACTAAAAGGAGGAAAAAAAAAAAAACCCCCTTAAGCAACTAAATTAAACAAAGAAAAGAAGACAAAGTGATTGAAACAGTTGTGCGTTCAGCAAATTCAACTGAACCTGATTGGTTATGTGCTGCCATGGCAAAGGAGACCCCCGTTTCTCTAAGTTCTCTCGTAGTGTGGCCCGCATTCCAATGATGCGATCTGCCATAACCTGTGAAGATATTATCTATGTAAGCTCATCTTCAATCTATTACCACAACTTTATGATTGTTAGTAAATTTGTATTGATGGTTTATTAAAATTTAATAATTTTGTCTTTTTAAGTTACAATTTGAAATATATTAACATAAAATAACACGATTATTAACAAAAACTTAGTAACAAGACAGAAACAAATAGCATATTTAACAGAGAGAACATAATCTGAAAAGACTTGTAACAAGACAATACTTTATGTTGCTATTCTACTAATTATGTTTGAGTAATTACACGATATGCCACAGCATTCACATTCAGAATATAGAAATAAATCTGACTACAAAACAGTGTGCCTAGAATTATAAATTTTGCTCATGGTGTAGCATCTAGCCATGTCAGTGGGGATAAAAAAAATGTTGATTTGTGCATAGCATCAGTCAGCTTATGATGTTGCCCAATATGGCAAGTTGGCAACCACCCCCCCAAAAAAGTGGGAACAAAAACCAAAGTAATCTTCAAAAGTAAAATATTTTACAAATTTTTTTAAATTTCAAACTAACATGAAGCCTGTTTTTAAGGGTGTGACAGCAGAAGGAAAAAATTCTCAAAGACAAGGAACTGTTGAGGACAACTGCCAGCATGCAGAAATTGCATATTTTGTATCTTTTCTTGCTATCAAGGCACCACTGCCGCATGAAGGTTATGCTCAGTCACCACTACTCCAAAAAAGAAACATGATATATTCTACTTCTCCATCACAGAAAAGTAACATACTACCATTATATAGGTGTTTTTACCATTAATTTCTAGTGGGAAAAAAGAAAAGGCTGGGAGAGAGGTGGAGTTAAGAAATAGTGTCACTTTACCTTAACTTCTTTAAGCCATAAATTTTTCAACTCTGGATCACCAAGGACTGTTGAAACTATAAGTGCTCCATGAAGAGGTGGGTTACTGTACATGGGTCTGGCAATCAGCTGCAACTGACTTTTTACAGCCACAGCTTGTTTCTCATCTTCACAAAGCATGCTGCAAGGAACTTGAAATTATGAGTGTTTTTCTTTGCAGAATATAATTCACATTTCACAGCCAAGCCAGAAGTTCTATAAAGCAGTTCAAGCCTTCAAGGTTTCAAATCTCGGAATTTCCTATGTTTACACACAGATTGCTGGAATGAATGTCCAAGATTCGTTCCACTAGGCATTCAAAGTAAATACTTTCGGTTCTCCATGTATTTTAATTAATTGCTGTTATTTTAGTCTTGTTGGAAAAAAAAAAAAAAAAATTATTGAGAGAAATTTGTGTTAGGCTACACATATTGTTCTGGTATTTATTGATTGTTTTACAATCAGAGAGTAACTCAGCTGACAAAAACTAATCTCTAGTGTCTTACTCAGTAAATGAGAATTCTAGTTGAATCAATAAAATGACTATATATTCTAAAATGCTATCATTCTAACGTAAATGTTAATATTCTAACAAGTCTCTCGGTAATTCCTTTACTTCATCAAGAGATAAATTGAAGCCAATTACAGATACAGATAATCATAATAATCACTGTTACAATGTTGGATTTCAAAGCTCCTGCCTCTATTATGCCCTCAATACATAGACCTTACCTTCAAGCAGAAGGCCGAGATGAAAGCTGAAATTTGTAAGAACTGAGGTATCAAAATCAATTTCACTGGGGGACCTTATATTGAAGTACAGAATAGCATATAATTTTATTTTAACATGATACAATCAGTACCGAAGTTTAGGTGACATGCAGGTTGTCTACATCAATGTATTACGAGAACCATCAAGGTTCAACATATGGGACATCCCAACCACAAGAAATGCTACTGAAGATTCTATTCATAACATTCTGTGTTCGAGTTATACTGTAATATTACACTTACCAGAGCTAGATTATAAAGAGATATCTGTATTCAAAAGATAAATACATAATTACCTAAGGCATCCTACTCGCTGGCCATACAGTCCCATATTTTTTGCATATGACTGAGCAAGTCCTATTAAATGACCATCCTCAAGAAAAATCCTGATGGCTTTTGCATCTCTCTCTGGATTGCCACTAGCAAAACCTTGATATGCCATGTCAAACAACGGGAAATGACCTTTAACCTGGAAACAATCATAATAATGAACAAGAAGAAGAATCAAGAACCAAAACAAGAATAACAAAATCCAATGGTTTTATACATCTTTCCCGTAAAATTGTATACCTTGATCAGGGAAGAGATCTCTCTCCACTGTTCTTCAGAAGGATCTACTCCAGTAGGATTGTGAGCACAAGCATGAAGCAGAAAGAAGGAACCATCTGGAGCATTCTGCATATGAAGTAACCATTTTAAGAGGTAAAAAAAAGTACAAAGTACTAGCACAGCTTCATGTATAAAAATTGACAAATAAAGCCAGTCACAAAAGTGTAAGGATGAGAGCAATATACCTTTATGTCATCCATCAATCCTGAAAAATCCAATCCTCTAGACTCAGGGTGATAGTAACGGAATGTCTTCATAGGCACTCCGGCATCTCTCCAAATGTTATGGTGGCTGTAATTTCTCACATTAGAAATAAATTCTAGGCAAGATATGGGACAAACAGAAAATTTATAACTGTTAGATATAAAACCACTCTGTGTTTTCACCAAACAACATAAGCTTTTGGGATACTTGGTTCATGACATGTTATCAGAGACATTATGATCATGTGATCTAGAGTTCAATCTTTGTTGGCCCAATTCTTCTAAATATAAGTTTCATTTTAGCATGAGGTGGGGTGGACCTATGTGTTGTCCACGCTGTAGGATGTTAGATATAAAATCATTCATGTACTTTCAACTAATAGCTTAAGAAATACTAGGTTCATGACAATAACTAAATATCAAAATATGAAGGCCCATAAGTCATAACGTCAAGTACTAAAAATTCCTCTATTGCTAAAAAACATAAAAATGCATTTATAGGAAATTTATTTATTGATTTTTTTTCTTTTTTCTTTTTAAATGCAGAGAATTTATTTATTGATTTAAAAGGTTTTTAGTTCTTGCATACATATGAAATATACTTCTTGCATATTATATGAAATAAAAAGGAAAATTAGTATTAAAATACCCACTTTGCCCAGGTAGGCACTGGTATATAGATTTGGGTGTCAGGATGAAAACGCTGTTGAAATGCAGCAAAAAGTCGACATGCACCAGTCCCAGATAAAGCCTGCACAGCAGCTATTCTTTTATCCTTGATGAACTCAGAGTTCTCTCCATATGCCAGCTTCAGTGATTCTTCTACCATCTTTATGCTTCCACCCATAGGAAGATACTCCCTGACCAAACATTTGCATCAGTGCAAAGTAATGGCATAAACTTAATTAATTAGTATAACAGTCTGAATGTATAAAAAAAAAAAGTATAACAGTCTGATACCTGAAGCTGGAATTAAATGGACAGATAAGACCTTTGTTTTATTGCAGGGTAGTATAATAAAAATATTTGAAAAAAAATCACTGTTTCTGGAGAATATTACTAGCTGGTTTTCTTAGAAGCTTGTCCCTGAAGGCAGGTCTGAATCTGATGTAATATTTGGTTCTATGAACCTTGAGAATTCAAGTTTATTAATTTACTTCATCCTTAAAACTATTTTTAAAAAAGAGGAAATAAAAGCTAACTCGACAAAATTTGGATTTCATGGCAGGGTAGCATAAGTTGAAAGTTGGACAGAAATACATCACATTCATTTTTATTTAGTTTTTTTAAATTTTCTCCTTAATAAACAGAAAATATCACCATGCTCCTCAACTGCCACTTTGACAACATCTTCAGACTTCACTGTGTGCCCCACTTAGTTATTACTTTCAGAAATAGTTTGACATCTGAAGAGGCATTCATTCTAATAGAAAGGCAAAGTTCAGATTGTTTAAAGATACAAATACAGGACACAGGCCCCAATGACTTTTTTTATTATCAAATCTATATATCGTGAAAGGATCCTTTAAAAGAATCATACTCTGTGGCATTAGAACTTTACCGTTCCAAATTTTAGACATCATAAATTTGAAATTTTTTAACCAGTCCCACATTCTGCAAAACCAATTATATCTACAAGATAATTCTAAAGTTACCTATATTAAACTCGAAAATCCAAACCTACAGCAAGAATGTTCATTATACTCAATTTGGCACAACCTTGAAAATGAAGGTGAAAAAAAAATTCAGGAATGAGTTTTCCAAAAGTGAAATTTCAGCTTCCAAACCAGAAAAACAATAAAGCAGGATTTCCTAGTCCCTACACTAAGTCAAGACACCTAGTAGTTCTCAAATGACACATCAAAGAACAAGTAGCATCATATTTCAAAAAGTGCGTTATGCAGTTCATACGTCGTTACCCAAAAAACAAAATCAGCTAGTGGGTGAACTTTACATTACCACCGCATATTAGCACATGCAAGCATATATATATATATATATATATATATATATATATATATATATATATATATATATATAAAAGAATATAAATATATTTTTTCACTTACATGAATTGGCTTCCTGCAATCCTCCTCTCTGCTTCTCTAACACATTCCAAAACCACAGGCTTTCCGTTGTCATCACGATACGCACCCTTAATAAATAAATAAAAAATAAAAATAAAAATGTTACTCAATGGTCCACTCAAAATAAATAAATAAATTTCACAAAAAAATTATTTAATAATTTCTTTTCTGTTGCTAAGAAAATTGGCGAATTAGAATTCTGAACTGAAGAAAAAATAGTAAACTGCTATTCGCTATGACCAACAGAACAGTTCTGTTAAGGTGATTGGATCATTTCACTCTGTATCTCAACCGTTTTTATGGTTGCTTCACTTTCCGAGAAAACGACAATAAAGTTGACGGAAAAGGGAGAGAGAAGAGCGAGGTAGAACTCACGACTCCGACATTGACTTTGTTCGGACTCTGATCTGCGATGAAAGCTTCGGTGACTCCGAGGATCGGGTCCTTTGGAGCTGGCTCAATGCTCCGGAACCACGAGGACATGAACCTAGCTCCGGCGACTGAGCTCCGACGGAGGAATTGTCCGGAGAGCGAGTTGCGAATCGCCATGACTCGGATCGGAAACAGAAGAGTACAGAGAGAAAGAGAGAGCGAGAGAGAGAGAGAGAGAGAGAAAGAGAGAGAGAGTAAGAATCTAAAGACACAAAGGGGTAAAAACGGTGGGTGTCCGGTGCTTATTTAAAGTCAACTGGTCCCATCATTTGTGTGACTCAATTGCTAATTTTTTTTTTTTCTTTTATTGAGTTCATATAAAGGTTAATTTTTTCTAGCATACAATTTTAACTAAATTTTAGTTGTAAGATTTAATAATACTAATAAAACTGTTTTTTTTTTTTGTCTTTTCTCTTAGATATTATCAGCTATTGTGACGGAAAAAAAAAATTTACTTTTTTCATTATAACTAAGAGTTGCTAATACGATTTAGATAAAATCGTGCACTAAAATTATCTAAAATAAAAGTAGAAATCATTCTCCCACTTTATATAATTATAATTTGACCAATTGTTGAAGCTTATCGTTGTCACCCTTATTTTGTTGTTAATTGCTATCTTATACATATAATATAACTCGTATCATCTTATTTTTTTTATGGGCTTTGATTTTTCATATTGAATTCTCATATAACTCAACTAATAATGGATTTCATACTTATTAAAAAAGAAAAAAAAATTATACATAAATTGAAGAATCATAATATGAGAAAACACTTCTTCTATGAGAATTGTTTTTGTTTTCTTTATTTATTTATTTATATGTATCTATATTAATGTAAAGGTGAGATGATGACATGATGTGCTCTATTCAATGCATAAATCTCTAAGGAGTCTAAATTTAGGAAAATATTTTGAGTTTAATTAATTTCTCATTTATATAAATTTCCTTTAATTATTAAGCGGATTTAAACTTAATTTTTTTAAGTGTATTTAATATTGATTGGATATACATATACTTAATGTAAATAGAGGATATATATAGGGTTTATCGTTTCTCAAGTTATTTGAGATAATTTTATCTCCGGCTACTAAATCATAATCGTACAAAGATGGATTAATATTGATAAAAGAAGAGAGAGAAAAAGAGAGTCATAACCATTCAAACGTGAATAAATTAATATAAGAAAATAAATAAACAAAGCGACGTAATTTTGAAGTAACTAGAGATAAATATATATCAAGCAGCTTGAGAAATATTTTTCTCATTATAGGAGAGTTATGTTTACAAACTCTCACAAACTACACTACTTACTTCCAGAATTTGCAAAAATTTATAATTTTTTTTAAATTGATCCTCCCCCCACCCCCCCCCCCCCACACACACACACATATATATAGAGGTAGGATACTTTAACATCAGTGTCAAATTTAAAATTTGACACCTTATCTAAGAGCCATTAGATAAAAAAAGATCAACGACTCTGATTTGTAAGCATGTGACACCATTGATCTTTTTTGATCTAATGACTCTCAATGAGGTGTCAAATTTCAAATTTGACACTGGTATCAAATGATCATACTTCATATATATATATATATATATATATATATAGGATCCTTTGACACCAGTGTCAAATTTCACACTAAACCCTAAACCCTAAATTTGACACTCATCTGAGAGCCGTTAGATAAAAAAAGATCAACGGTGTTACATGCTTACAAATCAGAGTCGTCGATCTTTTTTGATCTAACGGCTCTCAGATGAGGTGTCAAATTTAAAATTTGACACTGGTGTCAAAGGATCCTACCTCATATATAAATATATATATATATATATATATATATATATATATATATATATATATATAATATAAATTAATTAATAGCTGAGGTGGGTTAGCAAAGCCCTCAATTTTTTTTTTCTTTTAAAAATGTAAGAATTTACACAAAGAATTTTATATTTTTTTGTTTCTAAAGCATAACCCCAAGACACTCCTAATTTTTTCCACTCTCCATTGATTTTGGTGAATTAATTTTCTTGTAACTCACCTATTATTTGAATTTGAGTAGTGAATCACATATCTTTAATAACTTGTGAGAGGCCAAGCCTTGGATTAATATGAAATATTATGGCAATTACTTGTGTGTCTCCTCATACTTGGATATATGTCCTTGACAAGTGCTTATTTTTCGTTGAGAGCAAAGTATTATTTTATCTGCATACGAAGAAAGTTTATAATTGATAATGCGTACCAATGTGGATTGGCCGATCAGGAATCTATCCCAATCTTGAAATGGGTGCCTATGTTGTGTGAGTGACCACTACACAGGCCAGGATTTATTCCATAATTATTAAGAAAAATTGCACCTGATGTCTCCTAGTTTGTTTTATTACATCCTTGTCCTCCTTTATTTTATAAATGACATCAGCTTTCTTATATTTTATTTGGTTGGTATATCGTCACTCTGTGAGTGTGACTTACCTTGATTCTCACTACCATATGACTCATAATGATTTGAATGTAAATTATCTAAGTCTGCATATTGAAATGACATTATTATCCTCTCCATTTCATACGAGTAAAAAATACAGCGAGAGGGAGTTAAGAAGAGCTAAAACACAAAAAAATAAAAAATAAAAATTCTCAAGCTAGAAATCCCATAATATCAATGAGTTTTATAAGAGTTACGTTGTAGGAAAAATGATTGTGTAATATAGAGATTCGTTTTGCGTGTCGTAATTTCTTTTTTCTTCAAAAAGTGTGGGTCCCACAAAATATTATGTGTGTAAGAAAGTTTGTTGTGTCATGTTAAATGACTAATGCAAAGCTCAATATCAATAAAGGTTTCCTCGACCAAAACTCATAGAAAATCTCAAGCTGATCTTCAACCCCTGCCTCTACTATCCACAACCATCAGGTCCATCACCATCTATTCCGAGCTTCCAACAACTTACTAATGCTTGAGCCAAATTAAATCCCACACTAAATCTGTAGATTTATTTGAATAATAACTTCAGAAATGAATATGCATGGCTTTGATGAGGGACCTAACTAAAAGAAAATTTGGTGGGGTGGGGACGACTACAGAGTACATTCAGATGACTTGACACATTTATGAAAGACGTACTTACATATATAAGGGGACTTCAGACTAACATTTAACTTTTATTGAGGATTTTCTTTATAAACTATGTGTACCATGCACGGAGATTTTCAACCGTGATTCCAGTGGTGTTTTGCATGACGTAAATGATTGCTAATGAAACAAATATTATAACTTGCACACCATAATAAGGAAGTGCTCTCTGCTTTTGATATCGTGAACACCCGGTAGGATTGCCAATGAGGGTGATTTTTTTGTTGAAAGAATGGGAAAAAATTAAAAAAAAAAAAAAACCAACTAAGAAACCAGTTTCCACGAAACATGATTCTTATAGAATCTGCCATCATCAGCATGGATAGAACATAAGGAGGAGAGTCTCAGATTGTAAAGTGGCCAGCACTCTTAGCTCCAAGTTTAATCAATAAATCTGCACTACATTTTTCCTTCCTAAGCATTCGGAGAAGATGGACTTCCCACTATGCATTAGCATTTATTGGATCTGCTGGATTATAAGAATAATAATGGTGATCTAAGTGCATATACATTTCAGGTTTTGCCTTGGAACAAAGGTTAAAAGAAGTATTAACATTATGGTCATCAAGGGCTCATTTGATCGTCAAGATAAAGAGGACCCAATAGGATAGGCTATTATATTCTACTCTTATCAATTGTTTGATGAGCCAACTGATATAATAAGCTTACTATATTGACTTATTAATTTATTCTATCTTAGCAAAATAAGTTATACTAAGAGAGAACTCGGGTTAGGAAAGGATAGAATATTATAGTAAATATCACATTCTCTCATTCCAAATGTATATCCCTATGCTCTTCTCTTACGAACTTTGCTAGGCACTGTCAAGTAGGTATTGTTGTCGACGGCCATCCGCCACCTCTACCACCCATAGTTTCCACAACCATCATTCATCATGTGCTATTAGCCATTACCACCAAACACCAACCACCACTGGCCACTACCACTATCATTGTTGCTGTCACCATTGGCCATGGCTACCAGTTATTGCCAGCACCACCAATTGTTGGAAATTTTTGGAATATTTGAAATATTATGCGAACTCCAATAGTGATGTTATTACAAAACTATAGTAATTGAAAATACAAGATTTAACATGATTCACCTAAAATCGGGCTACGTCCGCCAGAGATATCAAATTCATCATAAGAAATTTCAAAGTAGATCACATACATGTTAGTCTTAATTTCTACTTAATCTAGTGATAATTCTCCTATATTTTCTGGGCTGAATTTGGTTAAAATGCAGGTAAAAGCGGGCCAAACTTAAAGGAGTAAGCCCAAGTTGGTAAAAAGAAGTAAAACACGAATTTTAACTTTTCACTAATTATTTTTCACATTATACTGCAGAAAAAGACACATGGCTGATAAAAGAAAAAAGAAGAAGATGAAATGGCAATTTGAGGACCATTGGATGCTTGTTTGATCTAAAGGACAACATCAGCTTGAAGCTTTAGTTTTAAAAATCAGAGTCTTTGTTTTGTAATAGAAGAGAACTCAGAATTTCGTTGTATTCAGTTTTTCATATTTTGGGCGCTTTAGTAGTCTTTAAAAGTTTCTTGGAGATACATACATGAAGGACCTCATTCTTGAAGGGATTCAAGAGGAAAGGAATTCTGCATGCATACTTCTGGATCAGTAACTTCGTGCTTTAGCTTTTCATAGTTGTAGTAATTTGAATTTGAAGAACATATTGGTCTGTTACCTTTAACTCGTACTATTTCTGATTTTTGTGAATGAAGAGCTTGTTTACTTTTATGTAAAAATTCATTCTTGCTTTAATCTTCAACATGCATTGCTAATTCCTTTTTCTAGAATTCTGATGAAGATGACAAGTACCATTAATCGATTCAAACTGCTATGCATGTTCTTGATGTTTAATTAGTGAAAAATTCTTGGTTTGAGTTCCATAGGAATGGACTTAACAATTCTTACATGAACTTGTATTGAAAAATTTGAGTTTATGCATTTCATTAATTCAAGATTCCAAGATTAGGAAAAATCTGGGAAAGAATTTGATTTTAAGTCATCAATGAACTGATTGAAGATTAAGGGATTAAGTTG